CAACCTAAACCTCCCCCACTGCAACTTGAGACCATTACTCCTTGTCCTGTCCTCTTCTACCACTGAGAATAGTCTAGAACCATCCTCTCTGGAACCACCTCTCAGGTAGTTGAAAGCAGCTATCAAATCCCACCTCATTCTTCTCTTCTGCAGACTAAACAATCCCAGTTCCCTCAGCCTCTCCTCATAAGTCATGTGTTCCAGACCCCTAATCATTTTTGTTGCCCTTCGCTGGACTCTCTCCAGTTTATCCACATCCTTCTTGTAGTGTGGGGCCCAAAACTGGACACAGTACTCAAGATGAGGCCTCACCAATGTCGAATAGAGGGGAACGATCACGTCCCTCGATCTGCTCGCTATGCCCCTACTTATACATCCCAAATGCCATTGGCCTTCTTGGCAACAAGGGCACGCTGCTGACTCATATCCAGCTTCTCATCCACTGTCACCCCTAGGTTCTTTTCCGCAGAACTGCTGCCTAGCCATTCGGTCCCTAGTCTGTAGCTCTGCATTGGGTTCTTCCGTCCTAAGTGCAGGACCCTGCACTTATCCTTATTGAACCTCATCAGATTTCTTTTGGCCCAATCCTCCAATTTGTCTAGATCCCTCTGTATCCTATCCCTGCCCTCCAGCGTATCTACCACTCCTCCCAGTTTAGTATCATCTGCAAATTTGCTGAGAGTGCAATCCACACCATCCTCCAGATCATTTATGAAGATATTGAACAAAACCGGCCCCAGGACCGACCCTTGGGGCACTCCACTTGACACCGGCTGCCAACTAGACATGGAGCCATTGATCACTACCCGTTGAGCCCGACAATCTAGCCAACTTTCTGTCCACCTTATAGTGCATTCATCCAGCCCATACTTCTTTAACTTGCTGACAAGAATACTGTGGGAGACCGTGTCAAAAGCTTTGCTAAAGTCAAGAAACAATACATCCACTGCTTTCCCTTCATCCACAGAACCAGTAATCTCATCATAGAAGGCGATTAGATTAGTCAGGCATGACCTTCCCTTGGTGAATCCATGCTGACTGTTCCTGATCACTTTCCTCTCATGTAAGTGCTTCAGAATTGATTCTTTGAGGACCTGCTCCATGATTTTTCCGGGGACTGGGGTGAGGCTGACTGGCCTGTAGTTCCCAGGATCCTCCTTCTTCCCTTTTTTAAAGATTGGCACTACATTAGCCTTTTTCCAGTCATCTGGGACTTCCCCCGTTCGCCACGAGTTTTCAAAGATAATGGCCAATGGCTCTGCAATCACAGCCGCCAATTCCTTTAGCACTCTCGGATGCTACAGCAAGACAGCTGAAGTGCTTCAGTGTAGACCAGGGGTGGGCAAACTATGGCCCAGGGGCTGCATCCATCCCACCAGACGTTTTAATCCGGCCCTCAAGCTCCCGCTGAGGCTCCCAGAAACAGTGACAGGTCCCTCCGCCGGCTCCTACGTGTAAGGGCAGCCACAGGATTCTGCACGCTGCCCCCGCCGGGAACTGTGACCAATAGGAGCTGCAGGGACAGCGTCTGTGGACAGGGCAGTGCACAGAGCCACCTGGCCATGCCTCCATATAGGAGCCGGAGGAGGGACATGCCCCTGCTTCTGGGAGCCGCTTGAGGTAGGCGCTACCCGGAACCTGCACCCCTGACCCCCTCCTGCACCCCAACCCCCTGCCGCAACCCTGATCCCCCTCCCACCCTCCAAACCCCTCGGTCCCAGCCTAGAACACCCTCCTGCATCCCCAACCCCTCATCTCCAGCCCCACCCCAGAGCCCTCACCCCCAGCTGGAGCCGTCCCCCTCTCCCCCGCACCCTAACTCCCTGCCCCAGCCCAGAGCCCCCTCCCACACCCTGAACTCTTCATTTCTGGCCCCACCCCAGAGCCCACAGCCCAACCCCCAATTTTGTGAGCATTCATGGTTCGCCATACAATTTCCATACCCAGATGTGGCCCTCGGGCCAAAAAATTTGCCCACCCCTGGTGTAGACACTACTATGCCAACTGGAGGGATTGTCCCATTGGCAAAGGTAATCTACCTCCCCAAAAAGCAGCAGCTAGGTCGACGGAAAAAAAATCTTCTGTTAACCTGGCACTGTCTACACAGGAATTTAGATCAGTTTATCCATGCCACTGAGGGGTGTGGATTTTTCACAAAACTAACCGATGTAGTTAAACCAACCTAATTTTCTTGTCTAGACCAGGCCTAAGTGTTTTACTTGCTATTGTTACATCTACACACTTTAAGGTTTATGTAATTGGACAGCTATTGGTTTAGTCAGTTTTACAGAATAGTCAGGCTCCAATTTTGCAATGAGCTTTGTGTGTGGACACACTGCTGCTCCCATGCAGAGTTCACTGCAAGATCAGGACCTCCCTCTGCTTATGGGAGGGAACTGAACCCCATTTTCTTGAGTTACAAGATAGCACCCTAACCTGTGGGCCATCTTTCATCTGTTTGAGTGGGTCTTTCACATAACAATGGGGGAGAGATTTAAAAAAATAATAATATATATATTAGCAAATTGACACTGTACATTCATAACAATCAGCAGGGAGACCCATGGTCAGGTGTAGTACTTGAAACTACCTTTAACTCATTTTTTTTAAGATGACTAGATACTAAGTTGATTGTGCCTTGTTAATGGGTTAGCAAATGGCTGTGACTTATCTACAAAACCATTTGAAAAGTGGTCATAATAGAGCTAAATTTCAGAAAATATATTCTACTACACAAATGATTGGATCATAGCCAGTTAATACTGTACAAGGAGAGTAAAAGGAATACATTTAAAACAGGTTAAAGCAAAGGGTACTTGTACAGGTCAGCAGTTCAAGTACCCAAGAGATAAAAGTTCAGTGGTTCAAGGGTACTGAGGCCCACTCTTGTTTTCCTTGTTAATGAATGATCCTGTGAAGGTCACTTAAAACTTGTTTAATTGCCAAACAACCAGAAAATGAAATCGGGGTACATATCAATATGAAAGAGTAAAGCAACTAAATTCACAACTGTGTTAGTAAGCTTGCCTTCTATTTATGCATTTGATATGTGAAATTAATTCTAGTAAGATAATTAGATTAAAAAAACAATGTAGCCGAGAGTACCGTAAATGACTTCAGTGGGAGTTTGCATGCATAACGGCATACAGGATCAGGGCCTGAACTGGAACATCATGCAGTGCACAGACCAGAATGTGTGGGACTAAGAGAAGGCAAATTTAACCGGTGGACAATCATAAGGCAAAAAGCTGTGAAACAAGAGATAGCTGCAAATCAAATTCAGAGAGCAATACCTGAGCTGTCTGCTTACAAAAAAAAGTATTCTCCTTGCTACAGTATTAATCTAATGCAATATCCTCTAAAAGTTTGAATACGCTATGATAATTATCACATTTTTTACTGTGATAGTACACATATGAGGAGTATAAAAATGCACAATACAGAAAAAATATCATAAGTATTCAGGTTAGGATCTTCCTATGAATGTTGATATATTCTCAGTCTGAACTTTCACTTCAAATAAGTTAAGTTTCTAGTCTGTGACTGTGATTAGCCTTCACCTTGTAAGCATATGCAGAGTTGTCATTTTGACAGGTGTGAATATCTCCTGTGACAAATTATGCCCATTTTAATGTAAATACTTTAAACAGTTAAGAGAGTCCCAAGAACTAGCTGAAGCACCAACTGCAGTAAAACAATATTAAAATATGTAAAGTTATTTTGAGTTTGCATATAATTAAGACTATATTTGATTAATATTTTGAGCTGACATTTTAAAGTCTCTAGATGTAGACTGCTATAGTTGAACTGGCTAAGGAAAAACAAACCAGGCATCTGAAAACATTCTGAACCCTTTCCAAACCAAAGGAGGACTGCCAAGTAGTTAAAACAGGGAACTAAAGGGATGAATTTCTGGTTCTCACATTAAGTGGGAAAAATCATTTGGTGCCTGTTCCAAAGCTCATCTTTCCTTTGACTTCACTGAGCTCTAGATCAGGAAATAAGGTCCTGGGAGCTCAGAGTGCAGCAGCCTGGAGGATCAGGTTCTGAGTTTGTCTGTGCTTCAGTTTCCACATATGCAAAATGGTTAGAAACATCTCCACCATGCACAGAGCTGTATTATTTAATGTTTGAAAAAGCTCTGAGCTTTTGTGATGAAAGGGTTTCTTAGATCTCTTTGCAAATTCATATCATATTTGTTAGTATTCATGGGAACAAATGTTTGATGTGGTGATACATATAACTCAGATTTTCTAAATAAAATAAAGCCTTATACTCATGAACTACCCTGCAGGAACAAATCACTCTGTACATCTAATGTATGAAAATATACACATTAAGAATTTCACTGAGCTGACATAAGTAACTTCCGATGAAGTGAGCTGTAGCGCACGAAAGCTTATGCTCAAATAAATTTGTTAGTCTCTAAGGTGCCACAAGTACTCCTTTTCTTTTTATTTTTTTAATCGCTTGTGTGTGTATTGGCTGTTTTCTGTTGGACCCAGTTGTGCCCATTTGTTGTTTAATCCCTGGCTGCTTTTATAACATGCATGTTGAACACACAAGGCTAATTGCTGTCCTCTTTTTACACTGATGTAACCATATTGCACAGATGTAATGGACAGAACTTGTCCCGTAAATTTACATTAAAGACAAAAATCTGCAGTTGTTACACAGGAAAACACCACACTGCAGTCAGTGGGGGATTTACGCAAGTAAGGCCTGCAGGTTTGGGCTCTTAGGCCTAAATCCTCAAAGGTGTTAGGCATGCAACTCCCACAGAAATCAATGGGATTTAGGTGCCCAAATACCTTTGAGGACCAGTGCCTGAGAGTTTAGGTTTACTTTTTATAACAGTTAAGCCAAAGTATGTGCTGACTTATACTTTATGTGACCCCAGTACAGGGAACAAATGAATCAGGTTACAATCATGTGACAGACATAAATTAAACCCAGGGGCCAAAATTCTCTGTGCACACCCCCATCCAATCTGGGTGAAACCAGCGTGGGCTGCACTCAGTGCAGAATACAGGCCCTTGGAGAGAATTTTTACCTCCTGATTTCCGACCATGCCACCGCTGACAATGGCTCGGTAAAGAAGCTGCATTTTTGAAACGAGTAACTAGAGGCCGGGTCCTATTAAAGGCCAAAGCCGCTTCCTGCGGGGCCCAAATGCAGGGCCGAGTTGGAGGGGGGTTTCGAGTCACGGGGAGCCCATTGCCCAGCCTCTGACGGCGAGCGGGGCTCTCCGGGGAAGGGCTCCAGGCTTGCAGACCACTAGGGGTTTGGGCTCAGGAGGAGTCACCGCTCTGGGCGAGGCGCCGAGCAGCGGCGGAGAGGCGGCAGCGGGAGGGCTGGACCCCGGCCCCCTTGGCCTCCCTGCACCCACACGCCCCCATCGCTCCGTCTCACTCCGCAGCCGCCCGCCGCCTGTCGCGGCTGCGGTCGGAAGGAGCCGGGGCCGGGCCGGCCTGTGGCGAGCGCGGGCCCGGCCGCAGGGGGCGGGCTGGAGGAGCGGGAGAAGCGCCTCCCTCCAGGTGCCGGGGGCTGGAGTCCGGAGAGAGACGCGGCGCGGCTGCTGCTGGAGGCTGGTCGCGGGAGGTGAGCGGGTCCCGGGCGGGGCGGGGGGATGCATCCCCCCTGCGCACGTCTCCGCGGTGGGCTGCACGGGGGCAGGAGCGGGGAGGGGGGTCGGGAGAGCCTTGCCCTCCCAGCCCCACCGTGGGCCAGAGCTCTGCGGCCCCATCCATCCAGTCCCCCTCTCCCGCCAGTGCCAGCATCCCCCTCCTCTCCATCCTTGGGCCGGGAGCATCCCGGGATGAGCAGAGCAAGCGCCAGAGGGGGGCAGCGCCACAGACCTGCGCTGCTGGGGCCACAGGCTGCCGGCTCCAGCCCAGCGGCTGGCTGCCAGCTACCCCTCAGCACAGTAGCTTCCTGCCAGGCCTGATGTAGCTTGCCCCCCGTCCCCGTCCCCCCACTCCACCCCCAAAGAAACAGCTAGAGGGGCGCATTCTGCACTGATCATCCACCTCTTTTTGCGCACACACACACCCTGCAGTTCAGTGGGGCACGCAGGGTATAAAGTCAGCCTGCAGTTGGACCCAGTGCATGTTATCGTGGGCAGGTCAAATTTTGAAAAGCACCAAAGTCACTTTCAGTGACAACTATTGTCAGTGGGACTCCAGCTCGTAAGTGACTTTGGCGTGTTGGGAAATGTCCCCTGAGAAGGTACCAGGCCAAATTCTGCTCTGTTGCACACCAATCATTTCTTCACTGGCTTATTCTGGTAGCAGCTAGAGGTCCCAACCAAGATCAGGGCCCCCATTGTGCTAGGTACTGTACAGATGAATAGTGAGACAGTTCCTGTCCCCAAAGAGCTTACAGTCTAAATAGACAAAGCATGGGAGAGGGGAGTGACATAAAGAGAGAAGTGACTTGTCCAAGGTCCGACAGTAGATCAAAGGCAGAGGCAGGAATAGACTCTATAGCTGGCCTACTCTTAAAAATGCGGTCAACATAGCTACGTTGCTCAGGGCTGTGAAAAATCCACTCCCTGAGCATCATCGTGGTGCCAACATAATTCCCAGCGTAATAGTTAGGTTGATGGAGGAATGCTTCCATTGACCTAACTAACATCACTCAGGGAGAGGGAGTACCTACAGTGACAGAAAAACCTCTTCTATTGGTGTAGGCTCTACGCTAAAGGCTTATGCCACCATAATAATTACGCCATAGCTATGCTGGTGCAGCCCCTATAACGTAGACATAGGTTTCCTGGATCCCAGCTTAATTCCCCAGCCTCTATGCCACATTGCCTTTCAAATTACACCAGTGTAACTGAGAACAGACTTTGGCCCAGTTGTCTATATGCAGGGTGGGAAACCACTGTGGATTCTTTTAAGATGAAAGGGCTTAATTGTTAGAGAAGGTGTTTTAATTAATTACTTTACTTAACAACAGGTTCATTGACTAGGAGCTTTTCTCTTTCTCATTTTTTCCCTTTCCATTTTTGACATTCTGTCTCATTTTTCTGTGTTTTTATTGCTCTGTATTTTTTTATTTTTTTATTCTCTTTCCCCTTATTTCTGTCTCTCTACCTTTCTTCCTTCTGTGTTTCTTTCTTTCTGCATGTTCCTGGAAGCTACAAGAGGAAAATTAAAAAGGAAGCCATCATCTTGAAAAGCATATTTCTGACTGAAAAATTTGTATTATCCATAGTAAAAAGTAACACTTAAAATAACTATAAGAGAAATAAGTTGGCAAAAAACAAATATATTCCACTTTTTTAGTTTGTGTACTTTGTCCATTTGACAACACTTTGTGTATAATGAGTTTCTCTTTTCCCCCTGTAAAGCCAGTCAGTGTCTCCCTTGCTGAACAACCCTTATCAACTTCAGTAGAGTAGCAGAATAAAAAATGTATTTGATAGTATCCCTCTAACTATCAAACAGCCTGTAGAACAGGGATTTAGAATTTACCATGCCAAACCATATCATTAGTCCGTTAAATCTAGCACTTAGGCCCTTGCCTAATACCAACATAAGACCCCAAACCTCAAAAACTAACCAACCAAAAATTCTATATTTGAGAGACTTAGCTGGCTAGTTGTGCAGTGCAGAGAGATTCCTTACTTCCTAATCTCCACAGGTGATTTATGACAGTGAAATATTATTAGGTGAAGCATGAGATATGTGTTTACTTTCTCTTGAGTGACTACAAATTTTATTTTTAAAAAATCTCTGTAAAGATCCATCTGGCTGTCTTCCCAATTCTGCCAGTGCTACTAAAACCAGGAAACCATTATTATGTATGGATGATTTTGAATGCTAGTTAATTTTGTGGAATTCTATTTGGCTAACAGCTATGGGAGCTCCATAAAGCCATCAGACACTCTTGATCCTGGTGCTATTGGTAGCACCCAAGAAAACAGCTCAACGAATGTAGCTGTGGATGAAATATTCCTTGTGAATTATTGCTGGATGCCATAACCTTAGCTTAATGAGTTTCTTAATACTTTGTACTCAGCAACATTGCCTTAAGGATATGTCAGTCTGTTTTTTTCCATGCAATCTTCCAATCTGTAATTGTCAAAGCAGCTGGTGGTGAAATCTTTGAAGCCAGCAATCTTGACATCACATCTGTTGGGTACTTGATTTGTGACATATGCCTTACACAACAACGTCCCAGAACACTCCAAAAGCAGAGAGTCTTGGATCAAAATTTCAGTGAAGTGCTGCTTCTGTGTTAATAATGGGTTCTCACAAACATAATCTTCCCTAGTTTGCAATACAGATCAGCCACCAATAGCCCCTCCTCCCAAATGCTAGTTGCAATGCAGACACTTGCATCTCTTGATCCAGCATTTTTCAGTCCCATCCTAATTACTTGATCCTTGGTACTTCCTAATACTTTTCCTAATTATCTGGCTTTTCTTCACACCCTTATTTCCATTCTCCCACTCACCAGGGCTCTCAGGAGCACAGGGTTTTGTCCCACAGTGGTTGTGCTGCTGAAGAGGGTGTATGTATATGGGAATGAAAGTAGAATGGGCAAGTTGTCTTGCAGAGAAGCCATCACTGCATGTCCTTTCACAGCTCCCAGCTAGGGCCGGATGAGCATTTGCCTCTACTTGTGCTACCTGCTACTATAGCTGCAGTCAAAGTGACGGGAGCCATCAATCTCAATGATGTTTGTGATCCAGGCAGTCACTTCTCAGCATAACATTAGTCTTGGATTGTTCACTCAAGATTTGCAATACTGTTGTTAAATTTAAAATTGACTCAGGTGCATAGGCTTGAAGGAGATGCACTAAAATGAAGCAGTCGCAGGTATTGCTCAGTAGCCTACAGGGACAGTTGAGTCAGTTCAAAATATATATAGCTACAAAGGCAAGGATGCCTTTGAATGGTCTGTTTGAATGTTCCCTTTGTCATTAATGGAGTCACCACAAGTAGTAACCTTAGACCAAACCACAGCTATTGAGATGGGCCTTGTATACTACATAGAGGAAATTGAAACAGTATTAGGTGAAAAAGGCCTGCTTAAATGATAACTAGTGTGGAGCCTCTTGAAAGAGGGGATGTCAAGGTTCCTCCCCCACTCTGAACTCTAGGGTACAGATGTGGGGACCTGCATGAAAAACCTCCTAAGCTTATCTTTACCAGCTTAGGTCAAAACTTCCCCAAGGTACAAAATATTCCACCCTTTGTCCTTGGATTGGCCGCTACCACCACCAAACTAATACTGGTTACTAGGGAAGAGCTGTTTGGAAACGTCTTTCCCCCCAAAATACTTCCCAAAACCTTGCACCCCACTTCCTGGGCAAGGTTTGGTAAAAAGCCTCACCAATTTGCCTAGGTGACTACAGACCCAGACCCTTGGATCTTAAGAACAATGAACAATCCTCCCAACACTTGCACCCCCCCCTTTCCTGGGAAATGTTGGATAAAAAGCCTCACCAATTTGCATAGGTGACCACAGACCCAAACCCTTGGATCTGAGAACAATGAAAAAGCATTCAGTTTTCTTACAAGAAGACTTTTAATAAAAATAGAAGTAAATAGAAATAAAGAAATCCCCCCTGTAAAATCAGGATGGTAGATACCTTACAGGGTAATTAGATTCAAAACATAGAGAACCCCCCTAGGCAAAACCTTAAGTTACAAAAAAGATACACAGACAGAAATAGTTGTTCTATTCAGCACAATTCTTTTCTCAGCCATTTAAAGAAATCATAATCTAACACATACCTAGCTAGATTACTTACTAAAAGTTCTAAGACTCCATTCCTGGTCTATCCCCGGCAAAGAAAACTACAGACAGACCCTTTGTTTCTCTCCCTCCTCCCAGCTTTTGAAAGTATCTTGTCTCCTCATTGGTCATTTTGGTCAGGTGCCAGCGAGGTTACCTTTAGCTTCTTAACCCTTTACAGGTGAGAGGAGCTTTCCCCTGGCCAGGAGGGATTTCAAAGGGGTTTACCCTTCCCTTTATATTTATGACAGGGGACCACAACCCTTTTAATCAGGACAGTCTAGACCTTGCCCATACTGCTGCTTCCTAATGCGGTGAAAGAACTAGTCAGGATGGGGAAGGACAGTGTAATGGAGCACAATCCTGAACTGACAATGGTGTGCTCATATGGTGCCTTTTTGGAAGGAAAGGGGCATAAATATATCTGCATAGACCAGGGGTCGGCAACCTTTCAGAAGTGGTGTGCCGAGTCTTCATTTATCACTCTAATTTAAGGTTTCACATGCCAGTAATACATTTTAACGTGTTTAGAAGGTCTCTTTCTATAAGTCTTTAATATATAACTAAACTATTGTTGTATGTAAACAAGATTTTTAAAATGTTTAAGAAGCATCATTTAAAATTAAATTAAAATGCAGAGCCCCCCGGGACCGGTGGCCAGAACCCGGGCAGTGTGAGTGCCACTGAAAATCAGCTCGTGTGCCACCTTTTTCACGCGTGCCATACGTTGCCTACCCCTGGCATAGACCTAAGAAGGTCAATGTAGCAATAAGGAAGAAAGGTATATTCTTCTCATCATACAAGGTACAATCTCAGAGTGAAATGCTAAAAAGTGTCCATTCTTATTTGGGCATTCCAGAAGAAGTAGTCAGTTCCATTTTTGTGTGTACAGTATAACTTCCAGCCTCCATTTCCCACAAGAGAATAGACTGGTGGGGAGATGAAGTACAAATGGCTAAGAGAATTCTTCAGCAAAAAGCCCATGTGTTAATTCTCCTAACCATAGGGCAATCTTCATGTCAGGCACTGGAGTGAGTCCACCTCAACAGTTTTTGGGTCCACATATCAGAACAAAGTAGTTAACTTTGGAGGAAAATGTTTGTCCTTAGGGGCCCTGCAAAAAGGATATAAAACTGATAGATAATTCAAGTGAATTCAACTGGACAATACTCTCTTCAAGTCCAAAAGATTTTCAGATCTGGATGAGTAGAGAAGTTGGTGTTTTGTTTGAATCTATTATTATTTGCTGTTAAATATTCTTGTTAAAGATTGGTTTCAGAGTAACAGCCATGTTAGTCTGTATTTGCAAAAAGAAAAGGAGTACTTGTGGCACCTTAGAGACTAACCAATTTATTTGAGCATGAGCTTTCGTGAGCTACAGCTCACTTCATCAGATGCATACCGTGGAAACTGCAGCAGACTTTATATACACACAGAGAATATGAAACAATACCTCCTCCCACCCCACTGTCCTGCTGGTAATAGCTTATCTAAAGTGATCATCAGGTGGGCCATTTCCAGCACAAATCCAGGTTTTCTCACCCTCCACCCCCCCACACAAATTCACTCTCCTGCTGGTGCTAGCCCATCCAAAGTGACAACTCTTTACATAATCAAGTCGGGCTATTTCCTGCACAAATCCAGGTTTTCTCACATCCCCCCCACCCCCATACACACACAAACTCACTCTCCTGCTGGTAATAGCTCATCTAAACTGACCACTCTCCAAGTTTAAATCCAAGTTAAACCAGAACATCTGGGGGGGGGGGGGGTAGGAAAAAACAAGAGGAAACAGGCTACCTTGCATAATGACTTAGCCACTCCCAGTCTCTATTTAAGCCTAAATTAATAGTATCCAATTTGCAAATGAATTCCAATTCAGCAGTTTCTCGCTGGAGTCTGGATTTGAAGTTTTTTTGTTTTAAGATAGCGACCTTCATGTCTGTGATTGCGTTACCAGCACCAGCAGGAGAGTGAATTTGTGTGGGGGGGTGGAGGGTGAGAAAACCTGGATTTGTGCTGGAAATGGCCCACCTGATGATCACTTTAGATAAGCTATTACCAGCAGGACAGTGGGGTGGGAGGAGGTATTGTTTCATATTCTCTGTGTGTATATAAAGTCTGCTGCAGTTTCCACGGTATGCATCTGATGAAGTGAGCTGTAGCTCACGAAAGCTCATGCTCAAATAAATTGGTTAGTCTCTAAGGTGCCACAAGTACTCCTTTTCTTTTTGTTAAAGATTGCTCTTCTAGGGGCGGGAAAAGGTGTATTGTTTCTTTAAATCTGTAACAGCTAGGTAGAGGGAGGTTTGCGAATGCTCTAAGCCAGTGATACTCAGACCTCAAATTAGCAATCAACATTACCAAAGAGTCACAGTAGTGTGAATTCACTGTTTCATTTACTTTATATATATATATATATACACACACACATATAATTTTCACCAAGTATTATTATTTTATCAACTACAGTTGGTTAATAACATAGTAAAAGCATCCTGATTGGTTAATACCTTACATTAGTTAATAATTAAATCTTACATAATTTCATATGTGCTGCAAAAAGTTGAAGGAGACACATTAAAGAGACACTTGTGGCTCCCAAGCCTCAGTCTGAGTATCACTGCTCTAGGCAGAAGTTCTGCACTGAAGGTAAGGTAGACGCTTTAGGGAAAATACTGTTTTCCTCATTCTACTAAAGTGTCTTGTTCAGGGTTAGAAGAAAATTACTGTGATTTGTTTTGCCATTGTCACCTGACACTCATCGTCTCTGAAAGATCAGGCCAAAACATGATATTGAGAGCCAATGTAACCCTGCTTCAATGTTTCTTCCATTGTTGCAGTGCTGAGTGAAAGGGTAATACATAGAGCTGTAGCACTGAATCCTTTGGCCAGCCTTCTCATTCAGGGTAAGTAAAATATCATTAGTTAGTAAGAGGTTGTTTCTTTTTTTGTTAGAGTTGAAGGATGTAAGTGATATGATATTGTGCCTGGATTGCCATACAATTAGGTGTGGTAGATATATTTGAACAACCATACTATTTCGCAATTCTTAGTTTGGCATGCACCCAGGACCAAGAATGATTTTGCTGATATTTTATTTGGATATAGGGTTGCAAGACACTGGCTTCAGAAAGTAAAACTTGCCTAAACTTAGTTGTTGCATTTAGATTCATTAGGTAGATTTCATTCTTCTTTAGAAAAGTCTTAGACTGTAAACTCTTTGGGGCAGGTGCTGTCTTTTTGTTCTGTGTTTGCACAGCACCTAGCCCAATGAGGTCCTGGTCCATAACTAGGGCTTCCAGATGCTATGATAATACCAATAATAAATATTTGTCTTGCACGGTGGAAAAAGAAATAGAGACACATATTAGGCTTCCAGGCTATTTAATAATTGTTTGTCTCTCTTGTATTACAAATAGGCTACCTTAGGTCCCCTGCAGATTGCTCCAGTCCTACTGTCATGAATGCTACTGTGAGATTTCATCATGACAAGTCAACACATGTAACAACTGTAATAATAAAATACTTAAAGCTTTTGTACATAGCTCTCATGATAGTGATCCCAGAAAGAGTTATGATCCTAATTCTACAAAGGGTACAGAATGATTAAGGTCAGCATTTTCAAATGTGTATCCCCCAAAGTCAGGAACTTAAAGCCATATTTAGGCACCTGCTTTTTCAGTGGTGGAGTCAACAGAGTTCCTTGGAATTTACCCCAGAGTAACTTGAGATCATGATGTGTAATCAAGAACAGAATATAGCCCATTGTCTCTCACCCATATGTGAAATCTCCCTTGGATCATTAGCACTGGCTTCCTTGCGCTCTCCACTAAATCTCATAACTGTTAGCCCCAAAGCCTTCTCCCCTACATTTTTTTCCATTTGGAACAGCATTCACATATCTCTTCTTCATAGACTCCACATCTTATTTCAAATACATTTGAAAATGCATATTTACTCCCTTGCCTGTACTTTTTAATTTCTTTCTTATTTTCTCTCCATTGTTATTTATGTCTGCAACTATATTACTTAACTGCTTAAAACATTTTGTATTTCATATTGTATCACTGTCACTAAACAGAATAAAAGTGATTAGTGTATACGTTATAAAGAAGAGTAAATAGGTTAAATTAGACCCACCAAATTTGCTTTAGAGTGTGTTTTGGTTACTCTGGTGTCTTGTAAAAATGTATAATGCTGCATATTTTCTTTTTGTTTTCTTTTAAAGGAAATCATTGTAAGCTTGGTGTCTTGGAAATATGGAATCAATCTCTATGATGGGAAGTCCTAAGAACCTCAATGAAACCTTCTTACCAAATGGTGTTAATGGTATCAAGGATGCCAGTAAGATCACAATCGGCATATTTGGAAGTGGAGACTTTGCCAAGTCCCTGACCATTAGGCTTATAAAATGTGGATATCATGTGGTCGTAGGAAGCAGAAACCCTAAATTTGCTGCTGAGTTCTTCCCACATGTGGTTGATGTTACTCACCATGAAGATGCTGTAGCAAAAACTAACATCATTTTTGTCGCCATACACAGAGAACATTATGCCTCTTTGTGGGACCTCAAGCATTTACTTATAGGTAAAATCCTTGTAGATGTTAGCAACAATATGAGAGTGAATCAGTATCCAGAATCCAATGCAGAGTATTTGGCCTCCCTGTTCCCAGATTCGCTGATTGTCAAAGGATTTAATGTCGTCTCAGCCTGGGCACTGCAGTTAGGACCAAAGGATGCCAGCAGACAGGTACGCTTTGTGTTTGAGTTCATTTAGTGTGTGTGTGCAGAAAGAAAACTACAATAACTGTAATAACTATAACTCCCTGGTATCAGCTGTCAGAACCAACACTTACTGTCTTTTTCCAAAAACATTATTTTTGTAAATTTTTCCCTAACACTAGAGGTGAAACATAAGCCGGTATGGTCCAATATACAGCCGACCGTACTGGACCTGGGGCAGCTTCCCCAGGCCGGCAATTTAAAAGGGCCCCAGGCTCTCAGCAGCAGCCAGAGCCCCTGGCCCTTTAAACTGCTGCCAGAGTCCTAGGGGTCCCGGCCGCTGCAGCTACCGCTACCATGGGGCTCTGGTGATGATTTAAAGGGCCCGCAGGCAGAGCTCCAGACCCTTTAAATCACCCCCAGAGCCCCGGGCTAGTGGCAGCGATGTAAAGGGCCTGGGGATCTAAAGGCACTGCCCCTTCCACCCGAGTCCCCACCCCTTCTGGTTGAGCCCCGCCCCCTTGCTCAGGACACTGGCCTTGCCTACCGGTAAGTCCCTTAAGTTAATTTCACCCCTTCCTAACACCTAAACAAGGCTAGAAGCTGCATTTCCTGCAGTGTTCTACTTTAGCTGTTAGTGATGGTATCAACTGTTGCAAGAGAAATTGTGGGAAATAAGTAGATGATCTAATTTAAAACAATTTACTTTCAAGCTGGCAGCTTGGCTGTAACTAAAGGCATAGTTTGTTTTGTAGGCCTAGGTCTTCAACTGCCCTGAGCTCACACAGTTGAAGTAAAGGAGGAAGGCAAAGGCCACTTAAACCTACTTTAGTCCTCTCCCAACCTTAGGGACCATTCCACTAGCACAGGGTCTCAAGAGCCGCTCATGCTCAAGCTCCATCCCTAAATACCTCCAGCACTCCCTAGAGTGCCTCTTGCGCAAATTGGAGAAGCAGATAGGGGCTCAGCTGCTCATTAAAGCTGCTTTAGGGTTTTTTTGCACTGCTGGAGTAGTGCAAAGGTGACTTAAGCAAGGCCAAAAATCTGGTCTTTGGTACCTTTGCTGGTTATGGTGCAGCATGAGAAGTAACTAACCTAGCATGGCTCCCAGAGCCAAGGATGAGTTTCCAAATCTGGCGTTTAGAAAACAACCATCTATTTATTTTTAAACTGAGTAAATTGATATGGAATCAGTGTGATATATATATAATAAAAATGGGACCCCCTCACATCATTTTTACAGAGCCACTTTTCAGAGTGGAACTGTGCTGTATGTAGTTATTTTATTATACCTCAGTCAAAGTTGAACTCAAAGCTGATCATCAATAGGTTAAAAAGATGATCAGATGCCATGGTGATGAGCAAACTACATGACCGTAGGTAAAAAAAGGAGCAAAATCTAGCACTGTGTTTATATTGTGTAACAGCACTTTTTTTTTTAAGTGTAATGAAGTACCCCTTGGATCTTGCATCTTTTTTTTTCCCCTTTAACATCCCGCAAAGCCATCCCTACTTGTTTCAGAACCTGAGCTGTGAAATGCAGCTCAAATTGTTATACAAAGTATGATTAGTTAAAAAACAGAGGTTAGGTGGGGTTCCTTCTTTGTTTTTTGTTGTCCTGGGCCATTAGGCAAGCTTTCTATTAGGGTTGTTGATTAATCGCAGTTAACTCACTCAATTAACTAAAAAAATTAATTGTGGTTAAAAAAATTAATTGCAATTAATTGCAGTTTTAATCATACTGATAAACAATAGAATACCAATTGAAATTTATTAAATATTTTGAATGTTTTTCTACATTTTCAAATATATTGATTTCAGTTACAACACAAAGTACAAAGTATACAGTGCTCACTTTATATTATTTGTATTACAAATATTTGCACTGTAAAAATTATAAAAGAAATAGTATTTTTCAATTCACTTCATACAAGTACTGTAGTGAAATCTCTATCATGAAGGTGCAACTTATAAATGTAGGGTTTTTTTGTTACATAACTGCACTCAAAAACAAAACAGTATAAAACTTTAGAGCCTACAAGTCCACTCAGTCCCACTTCTTGTGCAACCAATTGCTAAAAGAAACAAGTTCATTAACATTTATGGGAGATAATGCTTCCCACTTCTTATTTACAATGTCACCTGAAAGCGAGAACAGACATTCACATGGCACTTTTGTAGCCAGCATTGCAAAGAATTTACATGCCAGATATGCTAAACATTCATATGTCCCTTCATACTTTGGCCACCATTCAAGGGACATGCTTCCATACCGATGACGCCTGTTAAAAAAATAATGCATTAATTAAATTTGTGACTGAACTCCTTGGGGGAAAATTGTAGGTCTCCTGCTCTGTTTTTTACCTGCATTCTGCCATGTTTTTCATGTTATAGCAGTCTCAGATGATGACCCAGCATGTTGTTCATTTTAAGAACACTTTCACTGCAGATTTGACAAAATGCAAAGAAGGTACCAATGTGAGATTTCTAAAGATAGCTACAGCACTCAACCCAAGATTTACAAATCTGAAGTGCCTTCCAAAATCTGAGAACAACAGTGTGTGGATCATGCTTTCAGTAGTCTTAAAAGAGCAACACTCCGATGCGGAAACTACAGAACCCGAACCACCAAAAAAGAAAATCAATCTTCTGCTGGTGGCATCTGACTCAGATAATGAAAATGAACATGCGTCGTTCCGCACTGCTTTGGATTGTTATCGAGCAGAACCCATCATCAGTATGGACGCATGTCCCCTGGAAGGTGGTTGAAGCATGAGGGGACATATGAATCTTTAGCGTATTTGGCACGTAAATATCCTGCAGTGCCGACTGCAACAGTGCCATGGGAACGTCTGTTCTCACTTTCAGGTGACACTGTAAACAAGAAGCAGGCAGCATTATCACCTGCAAATGTAAACAAACGTGTTTGTCTGAGCGAATGGCTGAACAAGAAGTAGAACTGAGTGGACTTGTAGACTCTATAAAGTTTTACCTTGTTTTATTTTTGAATGCAGTTATTTTTTGAACATAACTCTACATTTGTAAGTTCAACTTTCATGATAAAGAGATTGCACTATAGTACTTGTATTAAGTGAATTGAAAAATACTATTTCTTTTATTTTTACCGTGCAAATGTTTATAATGAAAAGTAAATGTAAAGTGAGTGCTGTACACTTTGTATTCTGTGTTGTAATTGTAATTTGAAAATGTGGAAAACATCCAAAAATATTTATATAAATGATATTCTATTATTGTTTAACAGCGTGATTAATCATCATCAATTTTTTTAATTGCTTGACAGCCCTACTTTCTATATTTTAAGTGGTTCATTCATTTTTAACATGATTTTAGCCATTGGCCCAAAATTCATTCTAATCCTGTAGACATTTTAGTGTTGTGAATACCAGGCATCTTGAAACCAGTTTATATTAACTCAGATGATATACTGCCTTTTTGTTTAGGATACCTGGTTGTTTAATCATTTTTCATATTTCAGTATTGACCTGAGTTGTTCAAGGGTTAATTTTTATGGTTCAGTTAATGTGCTAGTGACGATGGCTAATTTAGATCTTTGTACTGTGACTTCTGCCTGGAGGCCTTGAAATTGTTGATTTCATCTTTAAAAGCATCTCTGTGACTAAAAATAATTAATTTGACTTTTCCATCAGGTCTTTATATGCGGTAACAACGTTAAAGCTCGCCATCAAGTTCTTGAACTTGCCCGACAGCTGAATTTTATTCCCATTGATTTAGGGGCATTATCTTCTGCAAGGGAGATTGAAAACTTACCTCTGCGGCTGTTCACATTGTGGAAAGGGCCGGTCGTGGTGGCTGTTAGTTTGGCCACTTTTTTCTTCATCTATTCTTTCATCAGAGATATAATACATCCGTACGTGAGAAATCAGCAGAGCGACTTTTACAAGATTCCCATTGAGATTGTGAACAAGACTTTACCAGTTGTTGCTATTACTTTGTTGTCTCTGGTGTATTTATCAGGACTCCTGGCAGCTGCTTATCAGCTTTATTATGGCACTAAGTATAGGCGACTTCCTCCCTGGCTGGAGAGTTGGTTGCAATGTAGGAAACAGCTTGGACTACTCAGTTTTTTCTTTGCTACCGTGCACGTGGCTTATAGCCTCTGCTTACCTATGAGGAGGTCTGAACGATACTTGTTTCTTAATATGGCTTATCATCAGGTAAGAAACACCATTTTTTATCTAGTGACAGAAGAGTGAGTCAGAATGCCTTGATTTTGTATTTATGTGACATATATCAGTGTCTTTGAATACATTTTCAATGGAAAATCTTTGGGGCTACATTGGGACTGCCTATTGGCCAATAGGGAAAGAAGGTACAAGGAGCCCCCTACCTTGTGGCAAGCCTCAGATGCGGTCAGCCACAATCAAGTCCCTGCATTAGGGGGAGTCTAGCATTTGTTCCCTTTTTTATTCCCCACCAGACATGAACATTACCCTAGAGAGGGTGGGGAAGAGGCAGGACCATGGTAAAATCAGAAGAGCACTCTTAGTTTCCATCATCTTGGGATGTAAGGGCTGAATGATAATTCATAAGAAAGCTAAAAACATCTAGCAAGTTGTTTTCGTCTCTCTGGTCCCAAAGGTTTTGGTATGTGTATGTCATAAATGTAGATTTACGTTGTTGAAAAGGTTTTTAAGGGTGGTCGCATTAATATACAAATTATACACATGGATCCCTCACTGCATCACTGAAATGCAGACACTTTTGGGCAGAGGTATGCCAGCTGTTTAATAGCATGCAGCAACACCACACAACTGTCTAGGACAGCAAAATCCTAAGCAAATATATGTTCCTACTAGGAAAGATGAAGATGCTGTATCACTTCTCAAACTAGTGGTAAAAAAAAATATTATGTTTACAATAAATTCTTTGTTCCCGTACAGTTATTGGCAGGAGGCATTGACTCAGAGTTCTGAGCAGCAGTTAGTTTTATATCAAAACAATCATCCTAGACAGAAAGATCGCTTTTTCTAATCAAACTGTCAGTGAGGTGTCGGTTTGCCTCTTCTACACTAGCATTTCATAAAGCAGGTTGGGCGTTCAGCATATGAAATCTGCAGAGAAGAATGAGGCAGGAAGAAGCAGCAGCTAAGCAAATCAAGCCATAATAATGGAAAGAATAAAAGGGGATTGGATCAACAGTGTAGAAAGAAGGGTGAGCATGAAGTATTGAAATAAAAGAGCTGAAGAGCATTAATGAATCTATGACAGGCATTTTGGCGGGGTATGTCAGGTCTTCTCTTCCCCCTGCAGGAGGGTTCAGTGTCTGACAATCCCCATTTAAGGAAAATCCACTCAGACTAGTGACCAGCAAAACAGTCCTCCAGAGACTTAGAAGGGCTAGGAGTAAATACTAACCAATCCAGGACCAGCAGGCCAATTAAGAAGGCTTGTCTCCTTTTGCTCAGGGGCAAAGCTGGGTGAGACTGGGATAGAGCAGGACCTCTTCAAGGTTCACCCAGAACCTCAACCAGAGCCTTGCCTTGCCTTGAGCGCAGCAACAGAGCACTTGCGTATGCGGGGAGTTTTTACTCTTTGTTTAAATGCACAGACAGGCGAATCCTGAGTTGCTGTTTTGTTCCTTGAATGTTCAGAGGAGCTCATGGCACAGGCTACCCTGCCCCAATCTGGCAGCCAAATCTTGAAGACTTAGGTGGGAAGCACCTGCAATATCATTTTCATGGCCCTGAAGGGGGGACTACAGAGCAGCTCTGCCTCCCACAGACATACACAGAATCCAGCAAGGAACCCTGATTGTTTAGGCTTACATACCGGTAAAAGGACCTGCTAGTACTTTTGTGAAGAAGTTCTCATATCTTCTATATTAATGTGAACATCTCATGTCATCATCAATGGTGGCCCCTTGCAAGAACTGACATGTAATTACAGATTTGATAGACCCCGGGGAACTGGAAATTTGTGAGATCTAATTGAGTATACAAGTGACTTGACAGTTGAAATGAATGGTTTCTTTCCTGTCATGAGGAGGTCCAAGCTCATCCATCTTTTTTATGTCTGATGTTAACAACAGAAGAGACAGTAATTTAGGAGTCAGCACAAGGAGTTGAAGCAATATTAAGAAATGATAATTTATTTGTAAGTTCAACAAAATAAAGAGAATTGCAAGCCCACCCATTTTACAGTAGAACATAAATCATTGCTGCCTGAAAAATGTAGGTATTTCGTGTCGCAATGTGGAGAATTTCATCTGATTTCATCAGATAATTTCTATAAATAAGCAGTAGCTAATGCTTTAAGAATTACTTCTCCTTTTTGCCACTGTTTCAACATATCTTTCAACCTAATATGCACCCAGAACCCGCAGTGATGGAGCAATAGCTTTTTCTCCAAGACATGAAGAAATCTCTAAAATATTTGACTACATTTTATGTTTGTAATCTGTTTTCTTACAAAACTCAGACTGGAGGTTCTTGCTCATCAAAAGAGCTTTTGTAAATAGTGTTTAATATTCTGGAAAATAAAAGACATCTTTTCCGCTGTGTCCTCAGGTTCATGCAAATGTGGAAAATTCTTGGAATGAGGAAGAAGTGTGGCGAATTGAAATGTATATCTCCTTTGGAATAATGAGTCTCGGCTTGCTTTCTTTGTTGGCAGTTACTTCCATCCCTTCAGTAAACAGTGCCTTAAACTGGAGGGAATTCAGTTTTATTCAGGTGTGTGTGTTCTTTGGTTGTTTGTGTTAATAAGATTGCATGTTCTTTTTTATTTTGAACCTATTATTTTGCTATAAGATGAAAAATAAGGGTTTTTTTCCTCTCAATAGTAACTGTAAAAATTATACAACTTCTCACTCAATAGAGAGAGTCCCTCTTAGAGTTGGGCAGAAAATGGTTTTCCTGTACTACTACTGTTTTCAGGAGTTAAAAATTTTCTCCTTTCTCAAATTGAGATGAGAAGTCAAAATCTCAAAAATATTTGTGAACCAAAAAACTGAATCTCAGGTTATGCAGAATGTTTAGTGTTGATCATCTGAATAATAATTTTGATAGTTCAAAAAGTCATTTCCAATCTGAAAACCAGAAATGTTTGTTTGGAAAGTGTCAGAACAAAACATTTTGACAATTTTGAAACTCTTTCTCATGACATTTTTTTGAGTCGAGAGATTTGACGAACTCAGTCCTGTTTCACGAGCCATTTCAATTTTGACAAATCGATATTTTTTGACAAAAGTGATTTTTCAAAAAAATCCAGCTCTTTCTCCCTGTGTGTATTCAGTGAGATCTATCTCCATTAGTGACATTAGTATTTACTGCATTTTACTCCTGTTGGCCTTGCAGAGCCAACACAGCTAAGACTGAGTAGGCTGGCACTATTCCTTTTTCGTTGACAGAATGTATCAGTTACACATGTGCAGACCCACTGCAGGCATTCAACTGAACAGGTGTCACTGAATGGGGTGCACGTAACTTTATAGCTGAAGATCTAATATGGTCATTAGAAGCTTTATTCCAGGGGATGATGCCCTGGGTAAAAAGAGCAGAGCTTGACTTTCAGATCCCAGAGTGAATTTGCAGGGCTAGCAGTTAGAACAAAACATCAGTTTACTTGTAAACAGAACAGATTTGATCTGAACTCACTGAGAGACAATATTTTTGTTAATAAACAAAAGTCTTTCTGCTTCTGGTGCTTATTCCTCAAGTGAGCCATCAGAAGTACATGAACTTGTAAACTATACAGATCTTCTTTTCATGCAAATGTCCCTAACTTTTTGTAAAGAAGAGCACATAGAAGATTTTCAGTGTTTTCCAGGAGGTTCCAGCAATACATCAAGAGATAAGTAACATACACAGTAATAGCAGGGTTTGGCTATATTTAGAATAAGTCCACTTCAGGATTCTTGGGGCATTATTTTGTTCTTCTATTGTAAAATTGGTGGAAGAAAAAGAGAAATTCCATAAAGTTTACCTCATAGTGTTTCCACTGAATGATCCCTTCAGGAGATAGGTGGTGGGGGCTGCAGAAATGGCAGGAAATGCAGCTTCAAACTCTTCACATCCCTGCAGTTTTCAGGAAACGATGTGGAAGGACAGCAACCTACATGGTGCTCCTCACATTTCAGTCTCCCTGGCAGTGTGGGTCCCTATGGTGCAATGCTGCCATTTTCTGTGACTTGCTCCCCATCCAGAGTGGGGAGATTAATGTTGATTCCAGCTAGATTAACTCCCATGACTTTGGAAGGCTGTATTTTTGCATTTTTCAAGGGGAGCCTTCTGTCCCTTCCTCCTGCCCTGACACACTTTCCCCCTCCCTTCACACATGAACACCGGAAGCAGAAATGCATCCACAATCTCTGGAGGTGGGTGTTAAGCTGTCTGAAGTGGCTCATGAGCATGAGAACCAACTTCAGGTCAGACTCTGAAGAAGTAGGGCACAAACCCCAAACTGGCAGTGTGGTCTATACTGAGATTTCACCAACCAAGTGTCAAACGTGAACTCCTCAAGCACTACAATAGCCTTAACATGGAGTCACAGACAGTCCTCCCTGGGTACTCCGGTCTATCTTACCGCCTACGCAAGCTTGACTTTGAGATAGATAGTCCCTTACACCAAAAATCACAACAATATTCAGTATCAGAGGGGTAGCCATATTAGTCTGGATCTGTAAAAGCAGCAAAGAGTCCTGTGGCACCTTATAGACTAACAGACATATTGGAACATAAGCTTTTGTGGGTGAATACCCACTTTGTCGGATGCATCCTGAGTTTGTGTGTGTATGGGGGTGGGGGGGGAAGTGAGAAAACCTGGATCTATGCAGGAAATAGCCCGACTTGATTATGTAAAGAGTTGTCACTTTGGATGGGCTAGCACCAGCAGGAGAGTGAATTTGTGTGGGGGGGTGGAGGGTGAGAAAACCTGGATTTGTGCTGGAAATGGCCCACCTGATGATCACTTTAGATAAGCTATTACCAGCAGGACAGTGGGGTGGGAGGAGGTATTGTTTCATATTCTCTGTGTGTATATAAAGTCTGCTGCAGTTTCCACGGTACACATCTGATGAAGTGAGCTGTGGCTCACGAAAGCTCATGCTCAAATAAATTGGTTAGTCTCTAAGGTGCCACAAGTACTCCTTTTCTCTTTAAAATGTGTATGATAATCAAGGTGGGCCATTTCCAGCACAGATCCAGGTTTTCTCACCCGCCCACTCCCCTCCAAAAACCACACACACAAACTCACTCTCCTGCTGGTAATAGCTTATCCAAAGTGACCACTCTCCTCACAATGTGTATGAAAATCAAGGTGGGCCATTTCCAGCACAAATACAGGTTTTATCACCCCCCACCCCCCACCCCCTTTTTTCAAAAAAACACACACACACAAAAAGGTTAAATCAGGTAAACATACACACACATGAGTTACAGTCTAAGGTTTTAAAAAGTAATAGAAGTTGCTGTAATGTGGAAGCTCTGTATGTCTTTTAGGGCTAACCCAGGCCAAGCAATAGGAAACTCTTGCTTATGCTTAGAATTCTTCACCCCTCAGAGTTCAAGCAGCATAGAGATACAGTTTCTTTTTGTCCGGGATGTATATTCACTTCCCCCAGAGTTCAAGCTGATGGGATAAGTCCTCTTGCATGTCTCCTCTTCAAGAGTGTGAGGGGAGCAATCAACAAAGTCTATGTCCTTTGATGTTTCACAATGGCTCATTTGGTTTCAGTAGGCCTTCTTGTATGCAGAACCTAACACCTTCTGTAGGAAGCTGGCATTTTACGTTATTTAATGCTTCTTTCCTGTTTGATGAGTTACACTGTTACAGAGGTTTACAATGCAAAAACTTAATATAACCTTATAACATGGGGTATAGATGTTAAGTCAGATTAATACATGCAGCTTCCTGCAAGCATTTCATAAAGTCTAAACACATTCTTATAACTCTAATATCTACTTTAATAATACTAACACTCAGACTGGTGTTTCCAGCTATGCATTTGTCAGAATTCACTGAGGCCTAGGGGCCTTGGCATGAGCTGCCAGCAGCACGGTGGGAACATGCCTTCTTCCACTGCTGTCCTTCTTCCACTGCTTCTGGGACTTTCCATATACTTTATTTTTATTTGCTGCCCTCCATAAACACAGAGTGTAGGGCCTTTGAAGGGCAAAGCATAGCTAGCTCCTAAATGCATTATACACATGAGACTGTGGAAGTAAGAGACTGCATTTGCTATCCATGTGGCATAAAGGAGGCCTTTCATCCCCATCAGCAGGCATTCCTGCCTTGCAGAAGTCACCATTTTAATAGTAACACCACTGTCTGACAAGAGACAGACTGTCATGTCACTGGACTAACCCAGAATTGTCTGCCCTGAACTAGGAACTGCCATGCAGCAGCTGGGAAAATGCAGGCATGGCAGCCCAACATATGTGTAGATCATATGGAAGGGGAGACACTTAGGAATAAGCTGTGGTAAAGCACTTCATATACTTCCTGTGTGTAACACATCTTAACTAGTACTGAAAGCTGATAGACAAGCAAATAGACATAACCAGCAAGAGGCATTGAGACATACAAAAAGCACAAGCCCCCGTTAATCACAGAAAGGTGTCAGCATGAAATGAAATTATTGTCACCTTTAAGCTGTGGTTATGGATATGAAATACTAATAGACTTACATCTGTTGCTGGGAGACATTCTGATAAAGCGTGTCCAAAAAGTGTTTATTTTGCTATACTTTGGGGTGTATTAATGTAGAGTCCTGTCTGACTAAGGACTGGTTTGTCCCATTGTAATTATATTGCCTAGTTCATAATCCTGTCACTGTTGACTGATTCTTGCCTATGTAGACTCATAGACTTTAAGGTCAGAAGGGACCACTGTGATCATCTAATCTGACCTCATGCATATTGCAGCCGCAGAACCTCACCCACTGCTGAAACTTATCCAGCGCAGTCTTGAAGCCAATTAGGTTTTTTACCCCCTCTGTTCGCCTTGTAAGGCTGTTCCAGAACTTCACTCCTCTGATGGTTAGAAATCTTCGCCTAATTTTGAGCTTAAACTTCTTGATGGCCACTTTATATTCATTTGGTCTTGTGTCCATACTGGCACTTAAATAACTCCTCTCCCTCCCTTGTATGTATCCCTCTGATGTATTTATAGAGAGCAATTATATCTCCTCTCATGTAACACACATGTAACACACATCATCACTTCTTTAATAATTAGGGCCCTAGAAGGGCTTTGTAAATTATAGCCATTTTAAGGGGAGTGACAGGGAATATTGCATTAGCTGCAATTGTCAGAGGTGTTCTGTCTGTGGAGGGATTCCTCCTTCTCTCTTTGGGATTCTGTCAAGTGAGAAACCTATATGAAACCTCCAACAGCGGTTGCTGAAGGAATGTGTTGAATCAGCCCTTCCCCCAACTGACCTGGCTTTCCCCATTCCCTGACAAGTGCCACCCACTTCTTAGGTAATGAAGAGAAGCAAAATTATGGCCATTTACATTTCCATAACCTCACTACCAAGCAGACTTTCTCCTTCAGGAGTTCTCTGCCTGGGACTATGCTATAGATGATAGTATGAACTAAATCTTCAGTTTAAAATAAAATAACAATTAGTCACAGGTGATTTGAGCCATACATCCCGTGTATGATCAGGAACTCCAGCAGCAAGCCATGCAATTGTAGCTTTTCCTTACCAAAGTTTCCAAACTTTGGCCTCAGGTTGTGGGGATAGAAATGTGCATGCCAGCAAATCATTGCCCAGTTGTTTTGTGGTCTTTGGCATGCACTAGTATACCACAACTATTCCCACTGTAATAAAAATCAACTTGTTTCTAGTTATCACAGCTTATAAACTATAATGAAATGCTGAGAGATGATTCAAGACTGCGGTACAGGACATTCCTCCTCTCGACTTGCCCTCATGTGAAACTGCATCACACATTAAAGAGAATTTGGACAAATTGTCTTTTTAATTATCACCTTTGGCATGCAATGGCAGTAATAATTGAAACACAAGGTGTTTTCTTGGGATTAATGACCAACTAAATGTAATGGTCTTTAACTGCTTCTCGGGGCATTAAATGTTCCCTAGCTAGTCATTAATTCTTAGGAAACATCCTCTGCCTCAAGCCTTGTTTCATAAACACTGACCTTACAAGGATTATTTTACCAAGGAAAATGAAGCTGGCATTCCACCACACATTAACAGTGATTAAGCTCAAATCTCATATAGAGTGCTTAGGCAGAGCCAGATAAAATACAGCAAATGCCCTTTTAGAGCTATTTCTCTACCTAGTGAAATACAATATTATAAAGAAGGTTTGCACTTAATGATTATAATCCTGTCTGAAATCAGCAGGAGATGCAGAGTGTAATAAGGGCTGGTCAGCTCAGTATAGCTTTTCTAGCCAGGGAAGTTGGTAATGGAGTAGCATTTACTCCTGTATCTAGCAGAAGCATAGATTGTCCAAAGCAATGGCTGCTGAAATTTTCACTTCCATCCTACAGATGAGGGTTCAGTATAAGAACCTACCAAGCTAGAGCCTGGGGCTCAGGGGGATTCTGGCTGATGCCTCTGCATCGCCACGAGAGGTTTAGGTCGGGCATCCTGAAGAGGACCCTGCAAAGCTGGAGTTGAGAGGAAGTACCACCCTTCAGGGCCTGAGTGGCACCCCACAGCCCACTGACTGGCCAATACCAGTATATAAACCAGGAAGCCATGATGAGGAGCTGTCTGAGCAACAACACAGACCACCGGTCTGCTTCTGATCCTGCTAATGAGAGACCCGAGACACTGGCTTCTGACCCTGATTTGTCCTTTCCCTGTCTCTCTGATGGCTATCTGTAATCTGGTACCTGACCCCAGTCTCCTGATAACATGACCTTGCCTGCCTCTTGACACCTGACTCTGTTTGCCCTCTGACCTATCTTGGACTCTGACCTCCTGGCATTCGACTTGGACTGACTCCTGCTCTGACCACTAGGTCAGATCACCCACATCCTGGTTGTGACACTCAGCATCATTGCAGCTGCTCAGTTTCTGACCTCCCCCTTCTAACACTCTCCCTTCTGAGAGCCGCACACCCGTGCAAATGCTGTTTCTAGCTCACCTTGCGTAACACACTTGGTTTCTAAGCGCTTGTGTAAATGGCAATTTACTGTATGACAAGCCACAGTGTTAATCTATAGCACATCAGTTTGCTTCACAGTAACATCTTGTGTGGACACTGCTGCAGTGCACTGAAAGTCCTGGAGTGCCGCTTGGCATACTTTCACTGCACTGTAGCAGTTTCCACATGGGATCTTAGTTCTGTAGATTTACACTGGGCCTTGCCAGTTGCCATGTAGACAAGCCCTAAACTGAGTCAACTAGTCACCCTTTTCAGGAGTAAGTCATGTGTTTGTTATTGTGCTATATCACACCTAAGTAACAATCAGAACAGTGCACAAGCCTAGACTATATGAAGAGCAGCCCTTTTCTAGTTGGGCAGGTTTACTAGTGTGGAAGAGAGGAGATGAAGAGGGTAGTAAACTCAGAAGAAAACCCCATACTCCATTCCTTGTGTGACTGGAGTTTAATTGTTGTCAGGCTTTTCTTTTTTAGGTGCAAAAGTAACATAATGTTCTGTCAAATCTTAGTCCTCCAATGGCACTTAAATAAAACTAAGCTTTCTCTTCTGAAAGGATGAAAAACATCTGTAAAGGATTTCATTATCACTGGCTTTTTCCAATAATTGTTATATAGTATTACCCATAGCTAAGCCTGCTGAAGAAATGAGTGGTCAGATTCACTACGTTGTTCCATGTTTACACTGGGTAACATAGCATGACCAGATGTCCCGATTTTATACGGACGGTCCCGATTTTTGTGTCTTTTTCTTATATAGGCTCCTATTATCCCCCACCCCCGTCCCAATTTTTGACGCTTGCTGTCTGGTCATCTTAGTGTAACAGCATTGATTTCAAGAGAGTCACACCAGCATAGAACTGGAACAACGCAGTGGTGAGTCAGGCCCAAGCTTTTATTTGTCATCTGAATTTCTTTCCAGAATATCAGGCAAGATCCTGCATATGCCAAATTATACCAGATAGGATCTGGCCTATAATGTTCAGTTACTCTTGGGGATTTTTGTTCTTGCTCTTTTTAACTAAATGAGGTAGTACATCTAAAAAAATGCCAACACAACTTTGGAAACCATTGTGTACACCGAAAAAAGTAATGCAAAGAAAATAGCAGCTTTGTTACCTTCTGCTAAAGTCTGTTACCTTCCTCAAAAGGCTGACAAAAATATTTCCCTTTTTTGTGTCACTGAATCTTTTCCCTTTTCGCCCTTCAGGCTATACTTTTCGTTAATGACAGGAGAGACGTTAGGTTTCTACCTCTTTATTTTTACTGTAGTTAGAGAACAAAATCTTGGTAGCCAGTTTTGATGATTCTTCCACTAAATCTTTTGCAACTGAGTGAGACGTTATGTCAGCTTTGGTGGTGAAGTGTTTCCCTTCATACGATAAACACCACAGTTAAAAGCATTGCTGCAGTCATTTTTAAGGTGGTTTGGGATTTCTAGAATGCAGGCTAATGCCTTTAACTTGGAGTCTTCATAATTGTACTGTTGATTGTAGGCCCTAAGCTCCAGATATCCCCATTAACTAGTTTACACGGAAGGGACAAAGACAGGTCAGGAGTGGTCCAAGTCTTGATTCCACTGTCCAACCAGTGGAGCTGGGCCATTGTGATGGGGAAGCAAGCAGCATCCTTTAGGGGTGTCTCAGTTTACTCCTTTCTCCCTGTAGGAGCAATGGGGATCAAGGAGTTCCATTCCAGGGCTCCTCCTGCATAGCCACACTGCTCCATACTCCAAACTAGCCCTTTGTTCTCTCATGCGACACACTGGGTACCTGAATCTGATATCACAACACCAGTTTTACTCTTACATAACTCCATTGACTTCATTATTTACACCTCTGAAACTCAATTGACTGCCAGATTTTAGATTGTGACTAGTTTGTTTTCTTTACATGTTTGAGGATCTCTTAGCTTTTCAAAGTAGAGCAAGCATGCAGGCCTGTGGAAGCCAAGAGGGATGGGATGTAAATCAGGGTAGAATTTAGCCCTTAATTTTCAGCACATTACAATAACGAGTACATTGTGATTTTTTTTAAATAAAATTGAACCTGGCTGAAATTTTAAAGTGGTATAGTAGGCGTGGCTGATAATAAGGGATCAGGTTTTAACTTCTGTTTCTTTTCTCTGTTTTTTTCCAAAGTCTACACTGGGATATGTCGCTCTGCTCATAAGTACTTTCCATGTGTTAATTTATGGGTGGAAGAGAGCCTTTGAAGAAGAATACTACAGGTTTTATACACCACCAAACTTTGTTCTTGCCCTTGTTTTGCCTTTTATTGTAATTGTAGGTAAGATCATTTTACTCTTTCCATGTATAAGCAGGAAACTGAGAAGAATCAGAAGAGGCTGGGAAAAAAGCCAAGTTATGGAAGAAAGAGGTGGGACTGTTCCACATCTCTCACCAGAAAGGATTACGGTGATGTAATGTTGGAATAGTGTCCATTAGGACTGTTACAGTTGTCACTGGTTTTTTTGTTTTAAAACTTGTGTTTTTAGGAGTTTATATAACTCACAGGTAAAAGTTGCTATGGGCTTGCTTGACATATGGTACAAGCTCTCAGCCAAGGAATGAGCAATTTATTTTTCTTCAGAAAATTAAAAAAAAATCACTTCAGTTTTAAGTTACAAGAGGGCAAACAATGTGAAATCAGGATTTTTTTAATGCTTCTTTGCACAATTGTATCACAAACATTGTGGTTTTATAATTAAAATCAAATGTTCCAGACAGCATTTCTTTGACTGATAACATATGTTCCAGACAGTACTTCTTTTATTAAAACCACCCTTTTTTAGTTAGTCAGGCCAGAATGTAGAGCAGTGGTTCCCAAACTTGTTCCGCTACTTGTGCAGGGAAAGCCCCTGGCGGGCCGGGCCGGTTTGTTTACCTGCCGCATCTGCAGGTTCGGCCGATCGCGGCTCCCACTGACTGCGGTTTGCTGCTCCAGGCCAATGGGAGCTGCTGGAAGTGGCGGCCAATACATCCCTTGGCCGAACCTGCGGATGCAGCAGGTAAACAAACCGGCCAGCCCGCCAGAGATTTTCCCTGCACAAGCGGCGGAACAAGTTTGGGAACCACTGATGTAGAGTAATAGATTTTAATGATTTAGGAAATAAACATGTTTTGAATCAGCCGAGATTAAATTTTTAATGGTTGAAATTATTTATCGCACACGTACATTACACTTAGTTGTGTAGCTCAACAAGGACTTTGAACTAAAACATGACTTGAATATAATAAAAATGTTAGTTGCATTAAGGAATATGATTTCAAAGTGTTGCATATGGTTTTAGACATGCAATGTCCATGGATGTTAGTGAGTCATGCAGTGAAAAACTAATCTAAAACTTTGAAAGTGCAAGAAGGACTTATATAAATTTGTACAATCAACTAATGATCGCTTTAAAAATAAAACATGCCAAAAATTATTTTTAAAAATTAAAGTTGGGGGAAATTTGCAATAAAAAAATTCAACTTTATGAGTGAAACTTCCAATATCTTAAGCACAATAGAGAAAGACCATAATGTTAACGTTATCTGTGTGTTTCTGTGTTGGAATTTCAGTTATGGCACATGAATTTCCCTCTCTTTCAACCTTAAGATCTCTTAATGTATTTTTGTTGCACAAATAATGTTCCATTTTTATATTAAGCTTTTGTTTTTACAGCCAGCATCTGTGGGGAATGCTTTACTGTGAATTTTTAAGAAACAAAACCAAATATTCCTATACTTCATCATTTTAACATGAGTTGATGATCCCGTGAAATGGAAATTTCCCTCTAAAATTTGTAATTCTGGTTTCCTGAAGCTTTCTGAATGTTGTTTAGAATGATTTATCAATGACTACTTCAGGATGTTTTGTTCTTCTTTATGGAATAGGCCAAACTCTACTCACGCTGCTCCTATAGAAATCAATGGAAGTTGTTCCCATGCATTAGCGTGCAGAATTTGCCTCTACATCTCTACCTATTTTTGCAGTATTACAGCTGTACTGTCTTTAATTGTTTTCTTTCCTCACATTTTTGCAATAATTTGCTATCACTATGATAAATATCTGCTATATGACTCTGATCCATATAGCACTTGTGTATACTTAAGTACATGAGAAGTCCCATTGGCTTTACTGCCTACATTTGTAATTACTGGGAGGAGGGATAGCTCAGTGGTTTGAGCATTGGCCTGCTAAACCCAGGGTTGTGAATTCAATCCTTGAGGGGGCCATTTAGGGATCTGGGGCAAAAATTGGGGATTGGTCCTGCTTTGAGCAGGGGGTTGGACTAGATGACCTCCTGAGGTCTCTTCCAACCCTGATATTCTAACCCTACACCCATGCAATGTGTACTTAGACCCAAATTCTGCTCCCACTTACACCTGCATAAATCCAAACTAACTCAGTGCCAATTGTTTTTAATTTCATTACAAACTCAAGAACTGCAGTTAGGTTTTTCAAGATTCATTATAGCCTCCAAGCCTTTCAGACAAACCTAGGCCCATTTATGGTTTTGTCTGAATCACAAGAAATCTGCAGTTTTACATGGTTTCACCTGTGTTCTGCTTTAGATGTTTCACCTGTGTTCTGCTTTAGATGTAGGGTTTGTTCAAACTCAAAACCCAGACAGAAACTCCAGGGAGAGGACTTTCTCAAAATGACACAGCACAAAGTGAGACAAGGTGGGTTAGTTAATATCTTTTGTCTTTAGAAAGCTGGTCTCTCTCTCCAACCGAATTTGGTCCAATAAAAGATATTACCTCACACACCTTGTCTCTCTAATGCCCTGGGACCGACACAGCTACAACAACACTGCATACAAAATTAAGTGTTAGTACGAACCTCTGCCAAGCTAAACAATCAGTATTGCATGTCTCTAGCTCTCTTTACTATTCAGTGAAAGCCCACCAAAAAAATGGGGGCTAGACAAATCGGGGGTGTTTGGGAGGCTGGGGAAAATTCAACCAATTTTCTTGACATATTTTAAAAAATATGTCATTTTAAAAAAATTGGCGTGGGGGACTCAAAATTTTCAAAAAATTTCATTTTGAAATAGTGGGGTGGTTCCCAGTTTCTTGCCATTTTATTTATCCTCCTCATCCACCCCATTTTATAAATTGCCCCCTGCTGGAAGCAGAAGGAGGAAAAAGCCACTTCCTCTCACTTTTTTTTTTACCTGTTCCCCTTGTAAAGTTAAAAAATTACATTTTTAAAGCTTTCTTGCATTTTTCCAATAGAAAAAAAAAGTTTAAAAATGAGAGAAAGCAATCTGTTGCCTTTTTTTTAAAAAAAGCATTCTACCTTATTTTCACTTGAGAAGAGGGGGGAAAGTAAAATAGAAAAAAATCCAAAGACATTTTTTCTAAATGAAATTTTTAATTTTGTTTAAAATAAATCATTTAAAATTGATTAAGTGAAAACGGAGAAAAAGTAAAAAATCTCAAATGTATTGAAAACTTCATTTTCTCTCAAAATTTTTCACAAAAAGAACAACATTTCAAGAAGCTAATCTGAGTTCCTTTTTGCAAAATGCCTGTGTTGTGAAGAGTCAGATGGATCATGCTGTACTATAGGAGCACAGTTATTTTATTAAATGAATAAAAGAGATACTATCAATATTATTGAAAGAAAGGTCATTACTAACTTTAAGGGAATAAGGCTTCAGGTAAATATGAACAAATGACAAATAGAACTTCTATTTACTGTGTTTGTGTGTGATTCACTCTAGCACAGAAAACTTTGCAAACCTCTCCACACCATTTAAAGTGAAGAAGGGATATACAGATGCCTCCACACTTTGTGGAGGGTTTTCAGGATTGCACACAGGTGGATCCAGTGGCCTAAGTTTCCTCTGTCGGGGGTGCAATTTGCCCTCATGCAGACAGCCAGCACAAGGCCTATGCACTTAGGCCCATATCCTCAATGGTATTTAGCTGCTTAGCTCCCATTTAAATCATAGGAGTTAGGTGCCTAAATACCTTAGGAGTTAGGCACCTAAATACTGTTGAGGATTTGGGCCTTATGCCCCAATCCTTAATACTTAATACCTGCAAACACACTTATGTACATAAGTATCTTTTCACACATGTAATTCCATTGTCTTCAAAAGAACTATTCACTTCCTCAGAGTTACTCATGCACATGGATGTTTGCAGAAATGGGCCCTTAAATCCTAGTTTGGAGGCTTATGTGGGGTATAGATCTTGTGCTGTCCCCCTACACAGTAGTGAATTTCTCCCATGTGTGCAGAGGGTCAGCAGCCACTATACCAAGCTGTAAAGAGGGGTAGGTGGATTTTGTCTCTACTAGCCCACTTACTGCACAAAACCCAATTACTGTGTTAGGAGGGATGGATTCTGCCCTAAGAGAAGAATATTTCTAACTTATATTGGAATGTATGACATCCTGAAGACTCAGAATACGGTAAATGCCATGGAACAAATTCTGCTCCCAGTTCTACTCCAATAGCCCTATTGAAATCACTGAATTTGCATGGGTACAACTGAGCTAAAATTATTACTGATTGTGACTATTACTATTTCAATATTGAATATGTTTGTATTAATGTTATCATAATATATGAAAATGCCAACTAAAATTCATCTTCCCTAGAACTTTCCAGATCTTGTTTGATGTTTTAGGAATATTGCTGTACTACTAATACAGTATTAATATTGTTGCATTATTAAAATACAGTAGCAACTGTGCATTGCCACCTTAGTCCATCTGTTCTGTGGTATGTGATGCACTATATTTGTCCGTATTCCTATGCAAAAAGAAATACGTAATTCTAACAGAAAAAAAACATACAATATAGTATGCTGCTTAACATACGTAAAAAGTAATTAGATCATTTCATGATTAAGTCATTTCAAGAATGTTTAAACTCATGGTAAATCTAGACCACATGACGTTTCTTAAAGAAAATATTGTCATGGATTGGTGGTCTTTTTGTCAAACCGTGTGTATGGGAAATAACAAATATGTGCTTTTTATTTTATGTTACTTGAAAGTTGAAATATTGAAGTATGAAGAAATAGCTTATATTTTTGGATCAACTAAATTAAGAAATTTTATGAAATATTTGTGCTACATATGTAATAGTGTACCCAGCTAGCCTATGTATTCATTTCTATCTGGAGTAACAAGCTGACTTGCTATTAAATCTTTTGTAATTTATATTATTGTAAAGATTGATTCTATTTAGCAAGAATTCTGAAAGTAAATTGACAAGGTCTTGCATAGCACATATTATGGATCAGATCCTGCCAACTTCTATTCATGTAAGAAATCTTCATGTGGTTAATCTCATTGATTTCTTCGGAACTGTTTGCATTAGGACTTCTCCTGTAAGTCCAGATTTTCAGGATCAAGTTCTAAAGTCAAAATTCTCAATGTTGGTTGCCTAAAGTTAGATGTCTCCATTATTTAGGTGCCTAAATATAGATTTAGGTGCATAACTTCAACAACCAACTTTGAGAATGATATATTTGTATGCAACATTGCATTCACCATTAATTGATTTTCGGGATATCCTATATTTTATGTCCTATATAGTGTGAAAATAACTAAATTCTCTTCCTTACCACCAAAGGTGGCCAAACTTACTGACCTGTTGAGCCACATATGACAGAAGTTCGAGAGCCAGGGTCCACCTGTTGGGGCTCAGGGCTTCAATCCTGCGGGAGGCGCCTGCCAGGGCTCAGGGCTTCAGCCCTGCTCCTTCTGAAGTCCTAATCCCCGGCAGGTGCACTCCTTGGGGCTGAAGCCCTGAGACCTCCCTCTCTGCTGGACAGAAGCCAAAGGGTCACATGTCTACCCGCATTCTTGCCAGGGTTTGCTGGCCCCACTCGGCCACATGGTGCCCATAGGCGCCGACTTCTACTGGCGCCAGTAGGTGCTCAACCCCCCCCTCTGCCCCCAGCCCCACCCCGACTCCACCGCTCTTCCACCCCCTCCTGCACCTGCCATGCCCCCATTCCAACCCCTTCCCCAAAGTCCCCACCCCAACTCTGCCCCTCCCTGCCCCTATTCCAACTCCTTCCCCAAATCCCTGCCCTGGCCCCGCCTCTTCCCCGCCTCCTCCTCTGAGCACAGCACGTTCTCACTCCTCCCCCCTCCCTCCCAGAGCTTGCTACAGGGATGGGGAGGAGCAGGGATGCTGCACGCTCTGGGGAGGAGGTGGTGGCGGAGGAGGAGGTGAGGGGGGGCAGGGAGCTTGGCTGCCGGTGGGTGTAGAGCACCCACTAATTTTTCCCCGTGGGTGCTCCAGCCCTGGAGCACCCACAGAGTCGGCGCCTAGGGGTGCCACTGGCCTCCTTCCCTGCACAGCCGCTGCTAGAGCCGGCAAACTGGGAGCTGCGGCCATGGGGGAAGAGCAGCGGCCAACAGCTGGGAGCTCTAGGGAGAGTCACTGCTTTTGCTGCTGCCTTTTGCTCCCCGCAGAGCTAAAGCAACAGCTCCTCCCTACAGCTCCCAGCTGTTTGCTGCTGCCTATCCACTGGGAGCTAACACCTGGGATCTGCAGGGAGGGGCCACTGAGGGTAAGGAGAGGGTGCGGGGGGGGGTAAACATTTAAATTGTGCCCCCCCCTCAGCTGGCACCAATTGTCACTGGCAGAAGCCCCTAGTCCTACCACCCCACTACAGGACCGAAGCCCCGAACTCCCCCCACCCCACAGTCAGGCAGAGAATGGGAGGGAGTGGGAGGCTCCATGAGCCGCACATTAACTGTAAAAGAGCCACATGTGGCTCACAAGCCACAGTTTGGACATCCCTGCCATATTTCATAATAACAAAATACCACTTAACATATAAAGCAATACTGCACACATTATATCCGTAAATGCACATTTCTATGCAGTAAATAATTGGAATGACATTTTGGAACACGTTCTTTGTTTTCTGCAGATGATGATGGTATTTTTTTATCCACAATGTTTATTATGTAGTGCCATAAACATATTTCATATTTGTGCTGCATTTCACAGTGTAATTCTATTAAATATTGCTATTTATATACAAAGTTCATAAAAATCACCTTGTTGAAATTTGAATTTTTAATAGGTAAATTATTTTGAGATTCTGTTGTGTTTTAAGTTCTTTACTTAGTTTGTGACAATGTTACATTTGCAGTGTACTGGTGCCATGTCTGAATTTTGTTCCAACATTGTGTAGCATGTGATGTGCCAACATGAGAACATGCAGCATTAGTTTCATTTGTTGGTAAATCACTTATAAAATATCTTGTACATGTTCAATGTGTAATTAGCTACAAATGCAGCCCTAATAGCATTAATGGACAATTAAAGGCATAAAGAACAATTAAGGCAGCTGTTGTTTATTCCCGAGTAGCTGTGAATTTCACAATGTATGACTTGAGTTAGGAACCTGTGTTTTTCTAAGTCTGATAAAAGCAAAAATCAGTAATGTCATGCAAATAAATATTAGATAGATTGACTTCTTCAATCTGATATTTTCAAGAGTTCTGGTGAATAAACTCAGTGGTAGTGGAGGCATATGAGTAGTTCTTTTCAAACAGTACCTCTCTGAGTACAAAAGTTTTGCCTTTATTGGGTGTTCATCCTAGTTCTTATAAATATTTCCTGTAAATGTAATAAGTAACTTTCCAGTTCTTATATTTTATCATTACATGATACTGCTTCAGTTAACTAGTTTGCTTTTCCTTTAAAATGGGTGACACATTGAACGAACTTAAACAATGATCTCCGTAATCTTTGTATACTGTTTCTCATGCCTTGCTGACAGTGTTTCATAGTGAATGTATTATGAGTCTCCTCTGTGCAATACTTACTTACTCTCTGTAGTTGTGTAATCCAACTTTGTCAATTATTGTTTGTGTTGTCTATCTGAACAGGGCTATTATAAATGACTGGCAGTGCTTTCACATATTTTTCCATAGAATCTGTTTTACACAAAGATCAATAAAAACTTAATATCAAATATTTTGACTTGTTCAAATTTCAACTTAATTTTCTTTATTTTGCTTTTCTTTAAAATGCATTTGTGCTTTCATTAATATGTCTTCTAGTAGAGAGGGCATGGCTATAGGGCTCATAAAGATGCCTCTGAAGAGCAAATGTGTTTCCTCTGGAATTGGCTGGATGACAGCTATTTTTTAAAAAATACACTGTGGGAGGCTGCCTCACACCTTGTTACACGTATTCACACCTTTTCAAATTGCACAAACTGAACACTGTGAAATACTAGCAATATAGACAGTACATTTTTCAGGAGCAAAGTACAAACATTTGTGGCAAAAGTGAGACTGCTTAATTTGTTTGTCAAGTGCTGGTGTTCTTCCTGTTTGGCTGTGGGTGTGAAAAAAAAGCAAGAGTGTTTCAATGGGAAAATAAATGAATAGCTTTTCCTTTCCCTCACTCCTACTCTCTGTAAGTATTATATATGTTTCAAGGAAATTTATGACAAGAGGGGGAAAGAAAAATTATACATTGGAGTGATCGTGTCACATTAAAGTCAGTAACTTAACTTCCATTGACGTAATTTTACCTATGCACAAATCAGTGAACTTGGGAAGTTTATGTTAACTTGCATAACCTCCCCATACTGCTGCTTCTCTGCAGAAGAGATCTGACCAATAGTACAAAATCATCTCTTACAAACAATGAAACAGATGTCCGATATGATCATTGTCCAAAATTACATTTTCATACCTCTTTCTACTTGTGCCCTGCCTGTCTCACTGATGAAAATTTCACCATTGGTGTCTGTTTTTCCCTAGTTTGTGCAACTCCTGCACCATTTTCTCATACATTATAGTGATTGCTTTTATTTGTTATTTACATCACAATAGTATCTAGGGGCCCCAACTGAGATCAGTGCCCCGTTGTGCTAGGTACTGTACAAATACCTTGTGTGAGACAGTTCCTGCTCTGAAGAGCTTCCAGTCTAAACAGACAAAGAGTGGGAAGGAAATAAAGGCACAGAGAGGTAAAGTCACTTGCTCAGCAAGGTTAACAGTAGATTAGTAACAGAGCTGGGCATAGACCTCTGATGCCCTACCTATTAGACTATACTGCCTCTCATTGCTCTATGTAATTTAAATTGAGCTCAGAAAAAAACCTCACTGAAATGTTTTCTCACTCAGAAAAGTTATGTACAGTAACAACAGGAACCCCTCGGGGTCCACCCTTGTAAAGTATGTGGCATGTGGTGAGGGTTAATCAGTTAATGTTTGGGAAGTGAATTAAAATTTTCAGATGTAAAACACTACAAAAAGGATAATTATTATCGAACACTATAGAAAGGATAGTTATTATCAATTTGCAATGAAAGAGATGGCTCTACCATATAAGCCAGTTGTCTGGGATAGCAAATTTCATAAAATGTTTGTGTGGTTGACTGCAAGTTTGTAGGGGTGGATGTTTGCCTAGAGCAACAGAACCTCTAGAGTCAGCCCTGTACAATGTTGCTTTCATCCCATGTAAAAAAGCTTGATTCATGAAGAAGTTGCAGTGGGAGCAAATGAATCCTGGCAGTGTGATCTTTGGAACACTCGACCAGTAAATGTCACCTGACCTAAGCTTATAATGTACAGAAAATGCTGCCCCATTTACATATGGTTTCCATACATTTGTCAATCAAACAATACACAGTTAAAGCTGTAATATTCCGGTGCATTTTTGGTCTATTTCTGGAATTCAGAAAGTTTAGTTCAGCATACAGCGCACAGGATTGACTTCCTGGACAACAATCCAAAAAAATTCATATAATCAGATTTATCCAAGGTTAAATGAATTGCAAACCTGTAAGCATTATCAAGATAATCTGTATGAGGAAAACAGATAAAAATGTTCAATAAGAAAACAATATTTGAGTTACAGCCCAAATCCCATACAATAGCTGAAGAATTCACTGTGCAGCTCAGGGATGAAGGGAGTAAAACTGGCCTTTGCATGCCTAAAACCAGGTCCACTCTATTCCAGGCCATTCTCCTAGCATAATTTAGAGCAATCTCCAAGCTACGACTACCAAGGAGGGTCCCTTTGTCACCCTAAACCTAGCCCGGGATGCTTTAACTTTTCTAACCTTAACCCCAGCCTAGAGAGTCCTACCCTTTGTAATCCTAAACCTAGCACAGGAAGCCCCAGAGGGTGGGGGCAGAAACTCCCTGCGAATGGGGAGAGGCAGAGGAATAGGATGGGGAGTAGGGGAGTAGGGAAGTAGGTTTGCCAGCCCTCCAGGATTGTCCTGGAGTCTCCAGGCATTAAAGATTAATCTTTAATTAAAGATGATCTCAGGGGATGAAATCTCCAAGAATTCATCCAACCAAAGTTGGTAACTCTAGAGGGGAGGTACTGAGACTTGGAGGGGTGTGGGGAAGCCAGGCTGAGAATTAGGGTTCTGGGAGTTCCTACCCTCTCCCAGGCCTGTTCCAGCCCCTCTGTGTCCTGATCTCTGCTCCCCAGCCAATCCTGGGCCCCGGGGTGGCTCCTTCAGTCCTTCCAGCTCCTGCTCTCACTTCTGCCCCTGCCTCTGCCCCGGTCATGCACAAGTTTACGTAGAGGCAGCCGCTACCATATTTCCATTGCAGGTGCACTAGCAAAGTCTGTTCTGCCACCCCTGGAAAACCTGACCTTTTTTAACTGTAACAAGGTGGCTTGCCCCTTTCAGGACCTGGTGGCACTCTGTTCCATCCTGTTAGCACCACCTTGCTACACCTGTGCAGGATTACATTTACAAGGAAGCAAGACCACCAATAAGGGACTGGTGGGGGAAGTAGAGCAGACAAAGTGGCCTGTGGTGGGCAAGAGGCTGTCAGGAAGCAGGGCTTACAGCAAAGCCAGTCTCCGGGCAATGAAGGGTATGTCTACACAGCAAAGAAAAACCCATGGCTGTCCCGTAGGGTGACTAGACAGCAAGTGTGAAAAATCAGGACAAGGGGTGGGGAGTAATAGGCACCTATAGAAGACAAAGCCCCAAATATCAGGACTGTCCGTATAAAATCGGGACATCTGGTCACCCCGCTGTCCGGTGCTAGCTGACTCAGGCTTGCAGGACTCAGGCTGCAGGGCTGTTTCATTGCTGTGTAGACATCTGGGCTCAGGGGACCCTTCCGCCCCCAGGCTCCAGGCCAAGCCTGGAAGTCTACACGGCAACAAAACAGCCCAGTGAGCCAAAGTTGGCTGGCACAGGCCAGCTGTGGGTTTTTCTTTGCAGCGTAAACATACCCCTAATGAGCACAGCTGGCCTGTAGTTGGCTTCCTGTTTGGCTATACTGGCTGACTGGTTGCAAGAGTCAGCAGACCAGCTCTTAATCCCAGCAACAGCAGTAGATTGGCAGCTACTCAAAGTATTTGCCTATGGTGGAGTTAGCTCCTGCTTTATTCTCGCCTTAGCCCCAAACCTGTCCCTACCTTGCCTCACTCCAGATAACCCAGTTCTGACCCTTGGCTCTCATTCTTGACCCCTGGGTCTGACCCTTGGCTCTGGCATGTGGCCTTGGACTCCCTGAGCTCTGATTCCTGGCTACCAACTCCTGCTCTGACTGTTAGGCCTGACTTCTGCTCCAACTACCAGGTACAATTGCTCATGGCCTGATCTCATGACAGGAACCTAGCAGGAACTGATCAGGGATTAGAGCCTTGTGGAAAACCCTGGGTGTGCCAGCTCCTGGGCAGTGAGATTGAAGCCCAAGAACTGGAGCTGATGTTGGGACAGTTTATTGCAGCTGGGGCCATGCTGCAAAGAAGAGGAGACCAGCAGCTGAGCCCACCTGGGCTGACAATTTGGTTGTTATGCTGTTTTCCCTTGGACTTTAAATAAGATTCTCAGGCCATGAAAGAGATTGGATTCTGCTATGTGGCCTGGCCAGAGGGCCAAGTCACACCAAAGGCCAGATTGAGCCAGAGGGGACATAGCAAAACTGAGGCAAAGCTACTGAAACACCACTTCTGGCCATGAGGAGGCATGCCGGTGCAGCAGCTCTGTAGCAAGGGAGTGGGACTTGTCTGGGATCTTTTGAACTCCCCTCCAAGAAAGGAGGAACCAGATGTAAATAAGGTAAAAGGACTGGACCCTGGATAGGGATACATGATTTAGGGTGTGTTCAGGGTGAATGCACTGTCACTTTTCTATGGAGATGAGGTAGCCCTTCCTTCTGAGAGAGTGAGAGGAGGTGGCCTCTCCCCTCAGAGGGAGGGGAAGTAACAGTTGGAGGAGGAGAGGGGAGATGGTTGAGGGAGGCAGCAGGGAGCCTAAGGGAGAGAGACAGAAAGAAACAGAGTCTGTGAGTAAACTGAGAGAAGCAGAGTGAGTGGAGGGTGCAGCCAGAAGGATGGAGGGAAGCCAGGACTCAGAGAAACCAAGAGTAAATTGAGAGACAGACTGAGCAGGACAGACAGATGTGCAGGAGAGGATTTCTTTAGTTTAAAGCTGGCTGGTCAAGTCAGTCCATAGTTGTTGGCACGATCTTGAGTATCCATTCCTGTTTGTGCCTGAGCATTAGTTCTGGTCATCTATCATTGTCCCAAGATCCAGAACAGGAGTACTGAAGGTCCTTCAGCTTCAGTGGGTCTGGTCTAATGTACATCCTTGCAAGCAAGCAAGCATCACTGGAGTCAAGTCCACCTCTTCAGGAAGTCACAGGTGGTGCGTGAGGCTCAGAAACAGAGTTGAGTGTTAGGGAGTGAGATATTTGGGGAGAACCTTGAAAAATAGTAGTAATAATAATAACCTATGAGATAATAGCCTGTGCATACAGCAGTAGATATAGATATGTTTATATAGATGGTTTTATTCAGTTACTTACAGTTAGTAAGTTACAGTGGGTGTAAGATATATATTCAAACTATTATAATTGTTAGTATATATTCTTCATCTATATAAAGTTATAGCAGGTAGGTGGAATCCACTTCAGTTTGTTCCAGTTTAAATAAAATCCCTGTTATGTTGGGTGGAGGGGTTATTTTGTTTTGTTTTTTGA